AGTAATTATATATAAATGCGACTGTACAGCTATGTGAATTAATTCGTCGGCGAAAAGAGACTCTTCGCTGAACTCGTGGTTCTTATATTCATGTTTGGATGGGTATTTTCCGAGAATTCCAAACAGTTTCCACTTTACTACCATCTATGACACAGGAATCATGGGAACAAGCTAGTTCATGAGAATCGCGCATGTGTGAAAGCGAAATTGAAAAACTGACATTTAGAAGGACTTAGTTTAAGACCATTTGAAAAGGATCACTCACCAATTTCTGATAAAAAAGTATTTAAATCACGGGATATACACATTTGATCACAAGGAATAAAAAGACAGTTGCAACGAAGAAGATTTTCTTTTCGACGAAATCATCCAACTAGACAGATGTACATTCGTGTATTTATGATAAATGAGTAGGAAAGTTCCAAAATAATTTCTGGTCAAGGGTCAGATTAATAGAATTACAATTAGGAATTAAAATGGCATAATAAACAGGGGGACGGATAAACCTCAGACAAAGCCATTCGATGAAACCTATCAAGGGGGGTAAAATTAAGACATCTGGGCATAGCAGGAGGCACTAGCCATCCAAAAGCTCAAACCCACGATATGTATCCAAAAGAAATACGTCCAACCCTTGTCCCTGCCATGGCCATCATAAACAGGTAATTCTTCTAATAGTGACTATCCCATTGACTTTCTTACCCAAACTTCCTGTTTATTTGTATTATTTTGAGCTTTTCTTAATCCCTATTTACACTACCATATTTTCATATCCGAACTTCGTGTCTATTTTATTTTATTATTTCTATATATTTATTCCCTAATTGCACAATCTGTCAATCTCCTCAGTAATTATGATACTACTTTGTTTGAGTTTTATCCGTCCCCCTGTTTATTATGCCATTTTAATTCCTAATTGTAATTTTTATTAATTTAACCCCTAACCAGAAATTACTCTGGAACTTTCCCATCCATTTGATATAAATACACGAATATACAGCTGTCTAGTTGATGATGTCGTCGAAAAGAAAATTTTCTTCGCTGCAACTGCTTTTTTATTCCCTATGAAAAACCTATTCACATTTTGGGACAATCTGATTGAGAAGTAACCGCCGGCATAGAAACAACAATCCCCTCATCAGCATACTTAACAAAATCAGCCTCATTAGAACGAAGTAAGTCAGGTAGGAAGAAATAAAACGAGAAAGGAGAAAGAATAGCTCCCTGAGGAATACAGACTATAGAGTAAACAAAACAGTGGGAGACTTCACATTATATACAAAGTGTACTGCTTCCTATCAGGAAAATAGGAAGGAATCCAGCACCCTGGTTGTATCGCAGGAAAGCTTGTTTAACAAAAGAAGCCTAGGTACAGAATCAGAAAGCAGATGAGTAATCAAGTAAGGCACTTCTATCTAAACTAGAGACAATATTACGACAACAGTAGTGTCGTGTAAAGTACACATACTACGCGCTTATATATGCAAATTGTTTAGGATCATTAAAAGCCATCAAAAAAGGGTTCAAGGTTATTGTAAAAGCAGTCTTTCCATTATTATTTTTTAGAAATGATGAAATAATAAAAGCAATAGGTCTAAACTTAATGCAGGTTACACTTGATTGATTTGATTGAGCACAGTAACAGCATAGTCATCTATAAGAATGAATTCTAGTTCAGTCATGATATTTTTCGTCAGTTGACTATTGACCTCTGTAAACAAGCATACAAATGGTCTAAATTCGAGTTAATCAATTCGATAAAATGTTAATTACAGCCTTTTGTTTTATAGAAGAGCCATTGTTACATTACATTTTATAGCTTAATAGTGTTTTGAACTCACTAATGCAATATTTATATGTAATTTTTCGCTCAAATTACCTCAAACTATGCAGACCTATAAATCTGACACTGAGCCTGAATAGCTCAGTGGTAACGTCTCTGACTGCAGTATTCACTGGGTGACGCGGGTTCGAATTTCAGAAGGGACATGAGTTCCTTCAAGGTTACAAATACGCCTTGCTAACTGGTGAGTGCCAACTAGCACGAAACCTAGGTCAGGCGAAGCTTCCTGCCGATTGCCTCCAACCATTTAATACACCCTTGTTTTTACCAGTAACACCTATGTGCGTCGGTGGCACAGTGGTTAGGACTCTCGCCGACCATGCACATGGCCCGGGGTTCGATCCCCTGCCGGCGCACACCCGATATCTATGGTCGGCCTGAACTTGGGCTACCGATATCCATGCTGAAAATTCCACACTTGTACTGAAAATACGGTGTGGAATCAAGCTGTAAATCAAAATAAAATAAATAAATTTAGGCAAACACCAGGAGCAACTATTACTCAGACAAACATTGTCATAGGCAATAATTATTAACAGGATGAATTAGGATCATTTTTCGAATTGATTTTGAAAATCTCTTATTCAACATCCCTGCCATTAGATACTTGTGAAAACAGGAAGGAAGCAAGTTGCTAAATAGAACCTTGATACTTTGATGTATGGTGTAAAGTGTAATTTCATGTTAGTTTATTGATCGGATAAAGTATATTTTTTGTTTATACTGGATGACCTTACAAGGACAATTAATTTATCTCTGATAATCATTAGGAACAATTAAATGATGCGCGAAACTTCAACCAGCAAAATACCACTAAGTCACCGCATAATTCATCTACATGAACTAACATGACATGACAGGAGAAACATTCCATCGCCTAATTCTATTATTTGATCAGGCCAACAAGTTCAACTTTAAGCACCAGTTAATATCAATGGATGGAGTGCAGCGCACCAATGACCTTGAAATGCTCATTGATCAGATTGGTGAAACCTACCTAGCAAATAATGGTGTAATCATGAACAGAATATACTCATTGAAGTGTTATGTTGTTGTTAAATGGTATATCTGTTAAGTTTCAGATGATTAAGTTAAGTTGCATAATCCTGGAGAGGATAAAGGACGCACTGGATACAGAACTCCGACCAGAACAAGCTGGATTCAGGAAAGGCAAATCATGTTCTGACCAAATTCCAACTCTACGCATCATCATCGAACAAAGCATGGAATGGCAATCAAACATCTACCTCAACTTTATAGACTTTGAGAAGGCCTTCACCAGACAGCGTTGACCGCGAAGTAATTTGCAAACTACTCGAGCACTACGGTGTACCCCAAATATTCATCAACCTTATTCAACAGCTGTACGACAACGGCACATATCAAGTGATCCACAACGAAAAACTCAGCGAGGCATTTGGAGTTAAACACAGGAGTCAGACAAGGGTGCTTATTATCACCAATGATATTCCTAATTGTGGTGGACTGGATTATGCGTCAGACAGTGGTAAACGAGAAGACAGGGATATCCTGGACCGATGTGAAGAACCTAGAAGACCTGGGTTTCTCGCGTGGATGATTTATGTTTGATATCACACAAAATCGAAGACTTACAAGCGAAAACCGAGAAACTGGGGGAAGAAGCCGCAAAGACTGGACTCCAGATAAACACAGACAAGACGAAGATTATGGAAATAACCAACCAACCAACAACAACAGCAACATCCACAGCCAATTACCATCAACAGGAGGGATTTGAAAGAGGTTACTTCATTCACTTCACTTATCTAGGGAGCATTGTCTCAACTACATGAGGAACGGACGAGAATGTCAAATCGAGAATCGGGAAGGCGAGAAACACATTCATCCAACTGAAACCAATCTGAAAATCTTCGTCACTCTGCATCAACAACAAAATTCGGATTTTCAATACAAACGTCAAGTCACTTCTTCTATACGGATCAGAAACTTGGCCAGTGTGTCACAAAGAATATTTCCAACAGCCTGTTGCAGACCTTTATCAACAACTGTCGTCGCTCTATACTGAAGATCAATCAGATGACCGGAAAGAATCACAAACAAGAAGCTATGGGGACAAAGAAAACAAGAACCAATCGCCCAACAAATATGCAGGAGAAAGTGGAGATGGATTGGACACTCGTTGAGGAGGCCGCTGCAGGGTGACATCGCGCGTCTGGCCAGCGCTCGAGTGGAACCCGAAAGGGAAGCAGCGAGTGGGACGTCCAAGGGTGACATGGAGGAGATCGTGTGAAGAGGAGTTGAAACAGTATGGACTAACATGGATGCAGGTGAAAAGTACAGCAGAAGACAGAAGCAAGTGGAGACGTGCAGTTGAAGCCCTATATTCCACTAGAAACCCAAGGGAACAATAATAATAACTCTTCTCCAACATAATCCTATGTTGGCTAACACCTGCCTGACCTGTTAGTAAAGGAAGCCAATAGCTTGGCATGTGTATAGCACGTGTCCTAGTCATCCAAACCTATGCAGCTTCACGGCCTCCTAGATTGATTGCCTTGCCCGCCCTACCTAACATTCTGCGTCTGGGTTTCATACTACCTGCTCACTACATTACACCACATTAACACAGGAGACAGAACTAAGACACAACTGTCGTGGAAGACAGTTAACCTCTTCAAGTCCCTCTCCTTCTTCAGTGGCCACATCTGACTGTCTTCTATATAAACACAGTTATCGAAATAGGTAGTAAAACTACATTCTATCAGCCGACTAAATAATTCAGCAGCTACACAGTAGCATGTATTAATTTTTACAGTGCTATTCAGCAGACAGACTTTATTCACTAGATTTCGTTTCCGAATGATGAAATAAAACAGACTGAAAGAAACATACAGCATCGGTGGTTCAGGGGGTAAAATGCTCGCTAGCCAACGTGCACATGGTCCAGGTTCGACTCCCCCAACCGGCATACTCGTAAAACACCTTGCCTAACTCACTAATAGCCGATAGTAAGCCTGGAAAAAAGAGGAAAGGTCGGGTTGGGGGAGGCGTGGGACCAGCAACCTCACCCCGTAAAAACTACACTTAGGACTTGACGTCGTTTATGTTCGTTCCACTCGAACGGAACACAACGGAATGGCAGCAACAACAACAACAAAAAAGGAGGGAAACAAACCTTTAAAAAAACAGAAATATTCTCAGGTAGCATTATTTTCATACAAAAATTAACGGAGGAAAAAAGACGAACACTTTGAAACAAACAATCCATTTATATATTTATAGCAACACAATTTTCTACAATATTACGTTCATGAAATAGAACAGGATGCGAAGACTGTGTTCAAAGAGATAAATCAGAGAAATGGATATCCATGTTTAAAGAAAGAGAAGAAGAAGAATGTGGTATTCATTTCACTGCATTTGAAGCAGTGATTCTTTTCGAAACACAGATCTTTTAAGTTGTTTTTTTTTTAATTGTTCAAAATATATTCAAAAGTGTATGTTCATCAAGGTGTAAGCGATCATCATTATTAGGCGAGTTCAACACATGGTGTCAAGCAATATTCCGGTTTTACCTGGAGAGGAAAAAAGAACAGTATTAGATTGTTATTAGATGCCATCAAAACGAAAGTTCAAACATATGTAAACATGAAATCCTAAAGATACATACTATAACATACATAAAACATAAACACAAATCAATTTCTAGCTTAGAAATACAGGGCGAAGTGATAGAGTGTGTTGACCACTTCACTTATTTGAGAAGTTGTGTCAGCTCCAAAGGAGGTTGATCCCTGATGAAATCTAGTATGAAATATGAAAAGCTACTCCATCTCTGGCTCAGTAAACGTGCTGTCCAGCTGTATCTATCAAAGAATGTGTGTACTGCTCAGCAGTTAGCTCTGTGTTTCATATGGATGTGAGACACGGCCAATGTCTGTCTATCTGGATTCAACATAGAACTTGGCACCGAAGTGCAGCAGTTCCAGTTGCCACGTTCCAAATACCACACAAAGGTAGACAAGAAAATGAGTGAAGAGAATCAATAGAGTTTTGACAAGTATAAAAGTGGAACAGAATAAGTAATGGTAGAAAGGAATATGAAAGATTACAGAGACTGAATACATCTGCATAAGCCATTGACAACGATTTTGAGCCATGTCACCTATTCTCTCCAGCCATTGGTTCTTAGAGTCCCGAGGGCGGGCCCCAACCCGGAAGTCTGCATCTCCCTCCCTACCTGACTCAGTTTAACTGTCAGGGATTTCATGGATTGATGCCATGTTTTTGTTTGGCCACCACTTACTCTTTTCCAATCTGCACCTATATCAGCTAGTAATGCCCGTCGGGGGAGGCGATGGTTAGACATGCGCAGCACGTGACCTAGCCATCTCAATCTATGTAACTTATAGCCTCGTCGATTGATTTTCTCTCTTTGCCCAATACTCTACGCCTAACCTCAACATTACTTACCTTGTTATACCGGCCAATGACAGTGAAAGATATGAAAAGCCTAGTTGTTTTGAAAATATACGTCTGCCTTCTATCCGCCGTGTCAGGTGTTATAATACGGTGAATAATACTGAGGTTAGACATAGAGTGTTGTTAGGTTAAAAGAGAGAGAGTCAATTGATGAGGTTGTGAAGTCCCACCGATTGAGAGAGAGAGAGAGAGATGGTTAGGATAAGTGTTACGCTTGCATGTCTAGTCATTGCCTTCCTCGACAAGGGGTAATGTTAGCTGACTGACATCGGATGGATCAGGTTGTAAAAGAGAAGGCTAGTGGTGGTCACATGAAAACACGCCATCCATCGGTTAATGAAATCCACAACAGTTAGTTTAAGCCAGTCAGCCACTTAAGGAGGTGTAGATTGCTTGGCTGGTTGGAGTCCTCGGGATGGTAAAAACCAGTGACAGCGGCTGGAGTCAATTCGTGATATGATTCGAAACTGTTATCAATGGCTGGCGCAGATGCGTTCACTCTTAGTGATCTGTTATATCCACTGAACCCTATTGTTTCTCCATATTATTATTCTTTCTCGCTCATATTTCTCCCTACCACTAATCTTTTGAATTTCTATTCTACAAGGAGGGAGTGTGGTAACTCGGACTGCTGCACATCTGTGCAAAGTAGCTCTATGGTGAAACCAGTTAATCAGTCAGTGACTACTAAGCGATTACAAATAAGACATCACTCGAATTCTTCACGCAACAATGTGTTCTTCGGATGTCGAAACTAAATTCAGATCTAATAGTTTGAAAAAATTTAGGTAGTATAGAAATAACATTGGTTTTTATTTACTTTCTACAATATTTATGTGCTATTTAGTTTATAGCTGAACTATGTGTTACACCTGCAATACGCTATCGACCGATAGCTGATATCGTGGCGTGGTGATCGGGGATTTGCATATGACTACCCAACGAGCTACAACTGGGTAAAAAGAATGTTTCTGCAGGTCCTATCATTTCCGAAAGGGTGTTTGGATGACGATTAGACTAAAAGCAGTTACAAGTGTAGATCGTTTACACTATGTTGGGGTCTATGTTGTGAAATCGTATTCCTAGTCAGTAGGGATTTCGCAGTAGTAAGGTGTTTCCTTCAGACCACGCGCAAACCAACTATGCTGCTCTTCTGTTCTCAAGAGAGGAGTTAGGAAAAGTCGACTCTAAATGTTGCACATCTCGACTTACCTAGAAGCAGCTCGTAGCCGGAGGTAAGATTTTAATATGGGTACAACCCTAATAACCAGTTCAAACAGGTTGTGTGTAACCAGCCTGAAGTAGTTGTCTCCCGGGCTCTGTGGTCACTCAACACTAATTCACTGTTTCAGGTACCGCAATGGTACTCCACGGTGTGGGCAGCCGGGAAGTAACAATTATCCACACACCTACAAAAATACACAAAGCCCTCCTGATCATCACCCACCTTTATCATCTTGCTTTCCTCCTACTGTGTTAATAATTTACCACAAACAGGTTCCTCATCTTCCTCTTCGTTCTGTGACCACTGATTGCAACCAGGGCTAGGTAAACACTGCCGTTTGTCTCTTAGAGCCAGACTGTCTACTTCATATGGCAGCATTTAACGTCAATGCCCTTTGCTAAATCGGACAACGGGCATCAATAGGCAAAACTCTGACATCTCGGGCCATGGATGTTTGTTGTATCTCAGAGATATGCATACAAGAACCAAGTATGGTTATTCACTTAACAGCACCCGCCCAACAAGATGAATCTGTAAAATCCACCTTACGAGTGTCAGGAGACCCTTCGGTAGTTCTCGCAGACTCATAGGTGTAAGGATAGCGTTGGGTGCTAGGACAGAAAAATCCTTACTCGACTGGATCCCAGTGAATAGTCGTATATTTGCTGTCTATCTTAACGGGTCTGCCAGAAGACAGAGATACCTGTCGATGTCTTTTCATAATCGCTTACGCCCCGACCGAATGTAGTTCGGACGAAATAAAGGATGAGTTCTATCAAAAGCCCTTTAGTTTGCTGGTAAGAGCTAAAACGTCCAAATATAGTCATTTCAGCACGTGACTCCAACGCTCAAGTAGGAAAGTTTTATCAGTCTGATAAGTATGTTGGCAGTACGGAGTTCCTTGCAAACGAACAGACAATGGCAATCGTCTTCTACAGTTCTTTTCAGATAATAATCTGTTCTTGGTTAGCACTAACTTCAAACATACAGAGGAACATTGTTTAACCTGGCGACTTTCACCATCAAATCAACGATGGACTCAAATAGATCAAGCAGCGTCACGCTACCGATGGATAAGGTTCGTAAAGAAAACTGCTGCCCCTTCTGAAACATCTGAGTAGATTCCAACCACGCTCTACTCCGTGCACGTATATGCCTGCTACTCAGCGGATGTAGAAAACAGGTAGCGACGAAGTTGCTACGTGCTGATGAGAACACTAATTCTCTACTCAGAAAAGAAATAACTACACGCATATCTGAGAATGACTGTGAGACTCATCCTGAGGACGACTGGCATAATATCCAGTCAGCCGTCAAAATAGCGGCTATTGGTAACCCAGAACCAAAGGTTAGTAAATACCAGTGGATTTCTAGTGCTTCATCCTGACTGACCCAAGAAGACTGATTCCAACAGACTTCGTCATAATGAGGAGCGAAGGCTGCCCAAAAGCAGGCTGACAAAAAGGTCACCACAAAAACCGTGAACAGTGGTCAATGACAAAAGCCAAAGAGATAGAAAAGGTATAGGCGGTAGGTAATATCAGGCAACTATTCAGACTGATTACCCAAACAAATGATGAGCAAAACAATTTTCGGGAAGGACGGCGCCAAAATTATCTCTCAGGATAGAAGGCTGTAACGTTAGGGTGGGGTGGGGGATAAATACCAACGAGCAATTTGAATGGCTTACAGATACGCTCAATTTGCCTAGTATCCAAAAGCTAACTACCTGAATGGGATTTCGATACTGGTCCTCCAATTGAAGCTTAGGTCGCAAGAGCTGCCTTTCATCTGAAACGAGGAAATGCAGCAGGACCTGACGGAATGATTCTAACGGTGTTTAAAGACGGCGGTGACAAACTGTTGTCTGAGTCAACTAAGGTATTAGGTAATGTGCGGGAATCAGAGAGAGTCCCGCTCAACTAGTTTAAATTATTGACTGTCCGAGTTTGTAAAAACGTAGACAAGTCTTCCTATGGTAATCATTGAGGAATCAACTTCCTTAGGATACTATTTAAGGCTCTAGGTTCAATAACCATGCGTAAACTGAACGGTGCTTGAAGGAAACAAACGCAGGAAAACCGGTCAGACTTTAGGCTAGGAAGAGTGTGATCATATTTTCAACCTTCGACAATTCCTGGAAAAGACACACTCATCGGCGTCTAATACTTGTCATATTTTTTACCAGGTCAAACTAGAAGCGCTGCCACAATGTCTGGCCGTTGAATGAGGAGAAAGTATATCGCACTAATCAAGGCACTTCGCTCGAGCTCATGTAGTCATATAAGAGTTGGTGGAGCGCTGTCACATGAAGTGATGACAACCAGTGGTGTCCATCGAAAATGCCCACGGTCCCTAATTTCGTTTAATTTCATCTTAGACGTACTAATGGATATGACTAACTGACTTTAGCGATTTGGTATTGATTTGTTACCAGAGAAGACTCGTCGACTTGAAGTATGCGAATGACATAGTTCTTCATGAGTGAAAAACCCAACCAAATGCTTTCTTTTGAATACCAACAGAAATCATGATATTTTTGGTGTGAAATTCACCCTTGTAAAGTGTAAGCTGCAGGGCTGGTCTCTACCAAATCCTAGTTTAAAGGTAGGGAGTGAAATGTTTTAGCAGGTTTCCTCTCGACACGATACAAAACGCACGTCTGGCACTTGGAAAATTACATCATATCTCGCGCAGATGTGATATCTGACTGAATCGACCGAATGACGTGTCTACTGTACAGCAGTTTTACTCTGTCCTTTATGAATGCCAGAGGAGAAGGTTTGAGGGAACCATACAAAATGAACTTCGCTTTTAAACTGGTGTTTATTGATTACATCAGAGTTGGTTAGAAAGAAGATCCAAACAAGTAATTCACAAGAGTCCCAAAAATCAGAAAATTTAAACCAGTGATTTTCGTTTACCTTGAAAGGAGGACCGTATGCAGGAACTATCCAATCTGCTCGCTCTAAGATGTATCCACGACTCCGACGCCAACAATTGATCATGTTTTCCTTGTCACAATTAACCTCTCCGTGACTTCCTTCCAAAGTGTCAAAAAAGCTGATGCGACTAGCGTCCTGCATGTCTGTAAATAAGTTCCCAGTAACTGCTATACGACATGGTTCACAGCTATTGCCATTCTTCGAATCTACAAGACGTCCATTTACCACCAGACTGATTTGAGGACCACGCTGGCCAGGAGTTCCAATAACATAAAACTGAAAAAATTGAAATTGTGAGTAGATGTAAATACGAACCGTTTGATGTACATTAAACTATAAAACTATGAAAGGGTAATCCTAACTTAGTATGATCTATGATAATCTTGTGAAGTTTTGAAAATCGCATTTCAACTTTTGTTCAAACTTATAATAATCTTTAATTTTATATGGTTTTCTCACTCCTACCTTTTACATGTATATGGAATTAATAAAGTACTGATGAACATCGAGCTTAAAGTAATGGTCAGAGAAATGCACCACAAAACAGACTTCTGATTGGTGACAGGATTTAATCATGAGCTGACATTGGTTAGTGAACCATTGGAGAACCTGGGAGTACTGGACAGACGTTTCGTCCTAGTTTGGGACCCTTCATCAGTACGCACCCACCGGGGTTCGATTATTGGGGTTTGGGAAGCCTTCATATGACGCTATCTAGTCTAGTAAACCTTGTTTCAAATGTCATCATAATGCAAGGTTCTAACAAACAAGAAGAGAGGCGCCAAAGCAAACGGCAACACGTTTAAGGGTTATCTTGGGATTCCAAGTCAATCAAACTAACAATGGTTATCATGTGTTACGAAATCCCTACATGAACCGTCAGCTTCATAGATGGGGGTAGTTTTGCACAAAATGATCAACAAATATGGAAAAAAATGTTAACTGCAGATAAAGTATATCGCTGTTAGCTGTTATTAGTGGCTAATGAAAGAAATAAATACATGTAAAGCATAATCCAAGATAGTAGTCATCCATTGGTAGATTTTCAAATATATGTGGTCTGTCTGTCTGGATTCAACACAGAACTTGGCACCGAAGTGCAACAGTTCGAGTTGCCACGTTACAAATAGCACACAAAGGTAGACAAGTAGATGAGTGAAGAGAATCAATAGAGTTTTGACAAGTATAAGAGTGAAACAGAATGAGTAATGTTAGGAAGGAATATGAAAGATTACAGAGACTGAATACATCTGCCTGAGCCATTGACAACGATTTTGAGCCATGTCACCTATTGTCTCCAGCCACTGATTCTTAAAGTCCCGAGGGCGGGCCCCAACCCGGAAGTCTGCATCTCCCTACCTAACTCAGTTTAACTGTCAGGGATTTCATGGATTGATGTCATGTTTTTGTTTGGCCACCACTTACTCTTTTCCAACCTGCACCTATATCAGCTAGTAATGCCCGTCGGGGGAGACGATGGTTAGACATGAGCAACACGTGACCTAACCATCTCAATCTAGGTAACTTTATAGCTTCGTCGATTGACTTTCCCTCTTTGCCCAACACTCTACGCCTAACGTCAACATTATTTATCTTATTATACCACCTAACGTGAGAAAGACATCGTAGACATCTATGATCAAAAACAGTCAACCTTTTCATGTCTTCAACTCGTATTGACCATGTTTCAGAGCCATAGAGAAGGACGGAGTGAACTGCCGAGCAGTACACACGTCCCTTGGTTGGTAGTCGGATGTCACGCCTACGCCAGAGATGGTGTAAGTTAGCGAAAGCAGCTCGAGCTTTTTGGATCCGTGCTGAGATTTGATCGCCAATCAGTCCATTGGTGCTGATACAACTTCCCAAATAGGTGAAGTGGTCAACAGATATGGTAGAAAGGGATCAAAGGTGCACATTAATTTACGTTTTGTCAGTTGCACAAAAACTGTTAACAACACAGTTTGCCACGCATGTAAATGAAACATAATCATTGCAGTCGGAAATCTGTCCGAAAGGAAAAGCTCTATGTTATCACTAAACGTTCGTCTACGTGCGCCTAACCAACAGGTAGAATTTTTCCCAATAAGAAACCTCATTAAATTATACAACAGAGAAATGCTATAAGCAACATTTAGCGTCCGAAGGACGATAACAGGAAAACGTTAATCAGACAAGAATAAGTAGGACAACACCTGGACTTAGATCCGTCTGTTGGAAGTGAGGTACTTAGATCAACCATAAAATTTCAATGGCCTACGTTGTCAAAATGAGTGGTAATACATCAGATAAAAGAAAAACCTGAAGAAAGAAGTGAATATATATAACAGTGATGAATACATATTGATTTCGGATACTAGTTTTGAGCACACTTTATCTCAAGTATATACATCAACAGATATAGTCGACTAGACCACTACGGTAGTCGAAATACAATAAACCACAAGGAAACTTCGACTTTCAGCCTAATTTCATTTAGCAAATCTCCGTATATAGTGAAAAAAAACCTTTCAGTCTAATAAACACTACATGAAAAATTAATTAAATTGCATTGAGGTTCTTCACGAAGAGATATGTGAAACGCTGGTTTTAATTTTAAAAAGAATATTCAAGGCACTTGAAGGATACGAACTGAACTACGAAGTGAAGTATCATTTCAGCGCTATCACTAACTATGCTGCTTAAAGGCTATATTATTAATTACTAGACAAAAATGTCAGTTGTAACATACAAGACAATAATCTTACTAACCACAAGGATACAAAAAAGGAAGCAACCATCTGCTTGCACTCGGTAACAGCCTAGAGAGCAAAGAGCGGCCAATATGGGTTTCAAAGATATGAAGGAAGTTGGAGTAAATTAGATTATAAAGAGATAAAGGTGGTCAAACCAGTGCCCAAAGAGACTAACTATTGGATAATACGACGTCTCGATGTAGAAATTAGAAACATCAGGTGATTAGCATACTTTGTTGTAGGAGAAGTTACAGACAGAACTAAAAAGCCAATGTTTTATAAACAGAGGGAAGCTTTTCCTTTATAATTAAGAAATACAGAATATGACTGGAAACTTACGTTCTCATCAAATTCGTAAGGTGAAATACCATCACAAAAATCATGCTCCAGGAACATATCCCCACGCTTTTGTATATCGTATCCGACTATCATCATGTCAGCGCAACTGAATATGCTCATACAACCAACATGCTCGGCATGACCATCAGTACATATTACTCCTTTTATTTCCCTCTCAGGTTCATGCACTCCAACAGATTTCAGTGAAGACAATAAGTCAGGACCATTCCAAACAGAGCCTGGATTTACTACAAAGGAACCTGCCGGACCGCGGATAAGTATTGTATTACATTTGCGATAGATATGGTCAACTGAGGATCTTGCATATCGTCCTTCATGGAGAACAATAACTGCATATTCGTCACTACCCATCACAAAAACAGTGGGAGGTTGACACCAGTGATGAGCTCTTAGGATGTCTTGGGGTTAATGCGATCAGCTTACTCAAACAAGTGGATCTAGAAAAATATTTAAAAAATGGAGTTCAATGAAAGCAAACTAGTACTGTTACATGTGTAACAGATGTAGACAACAATAAGTGGGAAATTTAAGGGGAAAAACTGATATTAAAGGCGTACTAACTGCATTATGATCATATAACGGTCGTGACAATAATTTGGGTCAAGGAAGACTCATATGAACGACTGGTATATGATACAAAAATCTTATGGTATACCAGCAGCTAACGATAAGTAAACTCTTGAGGAAATATCATTTAAATGAACGAAATGGACTCTTTTGTTCATAGGTTCTTCATACTGAAATGATAAGAATTCTACCAGTACGTGCACGTCTACCTGGACTCTGAAGCCTAGACAGGCAAGAGTAAAAATAGACACCAGAATCAAATAACCTTGAACCAACCAATAAGATGGCTCGGTATTACACATGGATGCTATTCACTACCTTCGTCGCAAGATTCCTCCAAATATTTTTATACCAATAATACAACGACTAGTCCTCCTAGGCACTACCATTCATACACTCGAGTGGAAGGGTTATTGGTAACTATCACCACCACTACGCTGCATTCATCACAATAATGAATTCAATCTCGCTAATTCTGAAATAACTCTAACATTCTATAGTGAGTAAATTCTGAATCTGTTCTGAAATGGATTCTTTAATGGCACAGACTAGAACTCAGTGCTGGTTTTCAGCATGACTGGAACTAATTCAGCAACGTGTTCTTTTTCTAGGCATTTTCAGGAGTGGATAACGACCTATTGGGTTTGCTTATCAGCATTGTTCCAGCCGTTACAGGACATATTAAGCACGGACTAGCGTTAACACAGAACATATTTGACAGATGAAATCTTTATTTACCATAAAAAGTCATTATCGAGGAATAGGTTAGAATAAGTTTAGAATTATTGTAAGCCTGAATTATAATTCAGCATTACAGTAAGCCTGGGACCAATTATATACATAATTGGTAGATTCAGGGTCATTTGACTTTGGTGTCTATTCTTTACTGTTGCCCAGTGGGGAATTCGACGACAACACATGAGAAGTCAAAGACTGCCACAATAACTATACCTTTAAATTACGAACACAAAGAGGATTCAACACTCCCGCGCTTCCAATATCCAATATCTCTTAGCAGAATTGTGCAAAACCAAATTTATTTCTTTGTGGTCACCTCCTGGCAGTAAGGTGAAGATTCTTGATCTTCGGTAATCATTCCGCATAGGGTGTCCTACTACTTGACCGTCTTGCCTTCTTACTACTGTCAGTACTATTCTGCAAGCTAGTCAGTCATTTTCATTCCATTCTGTGACTGCAGATAACGATTAGAACCATAGAAACGCCCCTTAAAACCTCGTTAAGCCACTCCGCCGAATTCATATATAGGAGCCAAATCGGACAACAGGCATCACTACCAAGAACTCTGGCATTTCGAGCCATGGATGTATTTTGTGTCTCGGAGACACGCATAGAGAACCTGAGTGCGGTCATTCACTTGACCCCAGTCGGCTAACAATGTGAATCTGCAAAGTTCACTTTAAGGGTGCCAGGAGACTCCTCAACTAGTTCGCGAGGACTCGTAAGTGTAGGGATAGCAGTGAATGTTAAATCAGAAAAATCCCTTCTTGACTGGATCGCAGTAAAAAGTCGTATGTGTGCTGTCCGTCTGAACAGGTCCGTTGAAAGAAGGAAGGATGGCGTTACCCGTCGTTGTCCTTTCATAGTTCTAGCTGACGCCCCAACAAACTGCAGCTCGGATGAACCAAAGGATAGTTTCTACCTGAAACTGTCTAGTTTGCTGAATACAGCAAAACTCTCAGACGTAGTAGTTTTAGCAGGCAACTTCAATGCCTAAGTAAGGAAGTCATGCCAGACCAAGAAGTGTATAGGCAGTACGTACGGAGTCTCCTGACGATGAAGTGACAATGGTCATGGTTCTCTACAGTTTTGTTCAGATAATCATCTGTTCCTGATCAGCACTAACTTTAGGCACAAAGACAGACATCGCAGAACCTGGCAATTTCCATAGCCATATCAACGTTGGACTCAAATAGACCACGTAGCTATAGGGTATCATTTACGAGGGCCAGTAGAAGACTGCTGCTTCTTCTGGAACATGTGTGCAGACTCCGATCGCGCCCCGGTTCGCGCACGTTTATGCTTACGATTAAATGGACATAAAATTGCTGGCAGTAAAGCAGTTACACCCCTAACTGGATCAAGATACCGAGTCCCTATTTAAGGATGAAATGGTGAAACGAGTACGTGGGGCCAACTGCAACACTCCTCCAGAAGAGCCTGGCCTAAGGTACAGCCAGCTGTAGATACAACTATAAAAGCTATTATTGACCAAAAACCAAAGGTTAGTAAGAGCCAGTGGTTTCTACTACATCATCCGAACTGATTAGCGCAAGAAGACTGATTCCGGTGCACTCCAAATGTGATGAGGAGCAAAAGCTGCTAAAATTCAAATTAACAAGAAGCTTTTGTAACGACTGTGAACAGTGGTGGGAAACAAAAGCGAAAGAGATGGAAAAGGCATTGGTGATTGGTAACACCACACAACTATTTGAACAGGCGGTGAAAGTCAGATGATAAGCGAAACATTCTCTGAGAAAAATGGCACCATAAATAGCTCTCAGGATGGACAACCAGAACTTTAGAAAGAACACTCTGAGGGGCGATTTGGTTGGCCTACAGCCACGCTTAACTCACCGAGCATCCAACACCTCTCTGAGTGGGGTATGGACACAGGCCCTCCGTCCCTAACTGTAGTTACTAAAGCTGTCACTAGTCTGAAATGAGGCAAAGATGTGGGACCTGCTGGAATGACTCCCGAGGTGTTTAAGGACGGCGGAGGAGGTCCACTGTCTGCGTTAACGAAGGTATTAGGCAGTGTCTGAAGATCAGAGGAAGTCCCATTGGGTTGGTGTAATCATTGGTTACCCCAATACACAAGAAGGAAGACAAGTATTCCTATGATAATCACAGGGGGAATAGCTTGACTAATATGGTATCTAAAGTTCCAGGCTCAATAATAATGTGTAGACTAGTCAGTCCGAGGCAGGAAAAAACACAAAAGAACCAGGCTGACCTTAACCCAGAAAGTAGGTCTACCAATCATATATTCATCCTCCGACAGATGCTGGAGCATAGGCTTAATTATCGGCGTCCAACATTCGTTATATTACTTGACCTTAAAGCATAATTTGATTCTATCTACCAAGATGTACTCTGGTGATGTTTGACTGTGAAAGGAATGCCGGGAAAATACATTGCACTTTTAGAGGCTGCGGGTATCGACGTTCGCGAGTTGTACGGATTATACTAACGCAAGATCTCATACCAACAACTTCTATAGTGTTCGTTCTTCGAGTACCAAATGGTAAAGCAAAAGACCAGATTTTGTCGTCCAAAGTACGTATTATATTTCGGGACAAAATCGCGGGTAGAGGTGAATGCTTAGCTAGCTAGTAATCGTGCACGCACGTGACACGACGGAGTACCAAATGGCGAGGAAGCCTTCAGCTAAACAAGTCGACTTAAACAGTGATGGTCAGCATCCAATGTTGAGTGATGATTGCTGTGGTTAATAATTTTGGGGAATTATTTACCGCTACACACTGATCGAGGCACTCTACTCGAACTCATGCAGCCAGCCAAGTGACAGCCTGCGGATAGTTGTCGTCTGACAACTGTGATGATAACTAGTGGTGTCTTAAAGAAATGTATGTCCTTTCTGAGGTTACAACCCGTGTCACTCAGAGCTGTAATTAGTGACGTGGCCAGTGCGCTATCCAGGCTCAAAGTTACCTACAACTATCTAAGTTAGGCTTCAGTCGAGTGCTAGGTAAGGAGAGGAAATCGATAGACGAGGCTGTGAAGTGACATCGATTGAGAGATGGTTAGGACGTGTGTTACCCATGCCTAGCCATCGCCTTCCTCGACGGGAAATTTTATCTGACATTGGATCAGGTTGGAAAAGAGCGAGTTGTGTTCGGACCAAAACATGGTTTCATCAGTCCATGAAATGGGCAACAGTTAGTTTAAGCCAGCCAGTCACGTAGGAAGGTGTAGACCTCTTGACTGGTTGGGGTCCTCGGGGTGGTAAAACCAACGAAAGCTGGAGACAATTTGGGATGTGGCTCCAGATAGTTCTCAACGGCTGGCGCTGATGCATTCACTGTTTGTGATTTATAATATGCAATAAAGTTCTATTGTTCTTCTGTATTACTGCTTTATTTGCTTCACAAGTCTGTAAATGAGATAAAATTATTTATTTATCTCTCTTTTGAACCTCTCTCTACTCTCTTCTCCTGCTTAGCGTGCTACAAGGAGGGAGTGTGGCAACCTGAACTGCTGCATATCTGCGCACAATTCTACGTTGAAACCAGTAAGTCAGTCAGTCGACTGTTGTGGCTATGGCTAACTCCTAGGTGAGTGTTGCTGGGACTGAATAAATGGTGTTTGCGACATGTGGTGTGTTAAGACCGTGTTGCTGTTGTGAATGTAACTGACCTCATACATGTTAGTCGTCCGCTGGTGTCGTAAAGAGGGATAATAACAGTAAGAAAGAATAACAATAATATATATCTAGGTTTAAGAAGAATAATGTACAAAACACGTATAATTTAATTTGAATTCAAAAAAGAGACATATTAGCGAATAAAGATAATAAAGAGTAGGTAAGTGAACAGGTAGTGTAGTCAGAATAGTGAGACAAGGGGGAATGAACAGTAGTCAGTGACGAGTTTCAGTCATGCTTTTCGGTGTATGCTTTTCAACGCCGTCTGGGATTTTTAGGGAGAGTCAAACTGGACTCAATCCTCTTATGTCCTGCATCCATGTGAGGCTTTCCACGGATGACGCGGCAGCCACATCAGCCAGCAGGGACCTCTAGGGTGTCGAACTCGAAGAAAAGTGACGTGTTCGAGTTTTTGATCTGTGATACGATTACGACGGAAGAGTTGAGAACATGGAACTCGCGTCGCGCAAACACTTTTGTTTGGATTTCCAATATTTAGTATTCTTTTCTAAATAAACTTGCTCTTCTCATATACTTTTCTAAAATATATAATTTTGTGCCATTTCGCAGTATTTTTAACATAACATAAGTTGATGGGTTACTTTTCAATGTCCACAGCATACCATGTGAAAATCGATCGCGAAAATTAGGCATAACTGGTTCTGTTAACCAGCTGTTTTCTTCAGGATCACATAACAACATAGTGACATAACTCTGTCACTAACTGTTCCACTACCTATTTAACTCTACTAAATGGTCTATAATTTAGTTGTTGTAGATTTAACTACTTCTATACTTTACAAATTTTCCTAGTCGTCTGTAATAAATACTTGTATATATGTATGCATGTATAAAGGTGATACTGCTAAGAATTTCCTCAGGTATTTATGTATCTGGTGACCTAATGGTAAGCATTTGTTATGAAAGCTAATAATGTGCAGCATGCTGTATAACTAGGAACATCCCAAAGCAATGCAATGCCACAATCACAGTTACTGTCAAAAAGATCTCTGAGCATAACATCAAAAAGGGGGAGGGTGGCGCATGCTGATCGGCAGATTTGATAGTGGTCACAAATGTGAATCGCTCCGATCTGTAGGACAGCAATATGCATTTTTTGACAGCTCGAGAATTAAACATTAGTCTGGGCCCTCAACAAAATGTAAGGGTTGCATAGATCTAAATTATAAATTTTAAAAATGGTTTTGCTCCAACCACCTACAAGTCTCTTCGGCTTCTAGTCAAGATGCTATCCACTGAACCCTACAGAAATTCGTGAGACATATTACAGGCCAGATTGTCCTACGTGTTCTAATCCTCCAGATCTTTGAATCCACTTCAAGCTTAAATGTCACTTATCTGCCTCACGATAATCGTTTTATTTGCACACTATTATACTCTACTTTTTCTTAACTACCTTGGTCTTCATTGAAGCTAAAACTTACTCTTTCTTCATAGTTGCTGCTTGTTTGAAGTCTGCTTGCTTTGATTAAAAACGCAACAACA